GCTCGTTAATATAGATTGTGTGATTGAACACACAAGTTTTGCTAAATGACATGATCTCAATCATTCCGAAGTGCTAAGATTCAAGATGTGGCATGATAGCCGAAAAAAGGAGGTAAACAACGAAGACTTTTGTTTCACATTGAAGGTGTCAAAATAATCGTTGTAAGACTAGGAAAGGAATTCATGTGTAAATTTCAACTAAAATATGACACAACTAATTTTCACCTAAAAATTGAAAAATATATGTAAAAATCGTCTAAATAAGGGGCAAACGCCTTTGTCAGATCCCTGTCAAAGGGTCAAGGGTCCCTATGGTCTTGTACCAATCTATTGTTCTGAACAACATACTATAGATTTGCACGGCATACGGCCTTGACATGTCTGTACCCGTGAAAAGTCAATTGTCCACCAAAACCCTCGCCATGACACCGAATGAGAACGAAAACAGTAAAATAAACTGAATACCTGGACACATATATACGTATAACGTCACATGGGTAAACTGGAAATCCGAACACAACATATATAAACGCACAAGTAGTTAAATTGTATCCTGAGTGTAATTTTATATTTATATATAATGTTAAGAATGCCGTAAAAATAATAATAAAAAATTCCCGTCAAAATCCATCGCTCCAGTGTCGAGTTATTAAAGCTCAAAGTTGTCGATTTTCACCTGTCCGCTCGGACCTAATCAGCGTAGTCGTCATTACCGCGGAATCGAGGCGCTTCTACTCGTGACGTCATAAGTTCAACAGAAATGGCAGTCAACATGACTGACAGTGACAACGACACCGCACCTGATAGCGATTTGAACATGAGTTTTGAGGAGTCTGATTATGGTGTGGATGATATTTCTGAAGACGGAATCCAGCCCTACCGATTTGAACTGGAATTACATGACGATGTATCCAGTGAGGAGGAAAATAACATTGTCATTTAGTCGAACTCTTTTCGGCGGAGTCCGATCCATTGCTATCATTACACCGAATTGGAAATGAAGTTCCGCCGAAATTTTTTGAATATAAATATGAATATTTCGTTGGACCTTTCCACATTTCTCTCTTCTTCATAACAAATTGAATCAATTGTTTGCATAAATCTGGCCTATTTAATGGGAAGGCATGCATCGACACCCCATCCGTGTTAGTGTTAGGACGGTGTCGGAAATTTTCGTACCGGAGAGTTTTCGTCCGAGGGGAATTTTCGTAGGACTATGGATATATATAGATAGGGTGTCCACAACCAAGTATAACACCCTCCGCTGTGATAATAAAAACAATTGATGTTTTGGAAATTTATACAATGATTTGACTGGTTTTTACCCAAGTACTGGTACGCGTCTGTCGCCTCACAATTGGCGCTAATTACCTAGCCTGGCTCAGGTGTGATTATGAGTTTAAATGACATCTCTACACATAACCTATTCTATAGTACTACTATATAAGTAGTACGAAAATTCTCAGGACGAAAATACCCGGGACAGAAATTCTTCGGTACGAAAATTCCCGGGACCGTTAGGACAACCGTACACTGCACACCGCTTCCCTCCTCGATAGGAAACCATGTCAGAGGATTTAAGCGCTAATTCACCGACCCATCGTTCACTACCTTAAATATTGCGAAGATGTGAAGTACTTTCACGTAAATAAACAAAGAAATTACCCCGGAAAATCCCAAAATAGATCACAATCACATGTAGCACAGTATTGCCAATATGCCTGCATCAGCAAAAGCGTTGAACTTATGACGTCACAGGTTTGGATGCCCGAAAACAAGGTAAACGCCTTTCAACCAAAGGTGTGTTTTTCAGAAAAGTCGCAATTTCTCAGTAACGGAACATTCCACGGCATCCGTATTTTCGGCAATGTGTATATTATGTGCAGAACTATTTTTTAAGCTCGACATAGCTGACCTCTCAGGGCACACTTTAAGCAGAAGACACGGAAAAAAACTGACGACGTGATACACCAATAATGGCGGCACAGAATTAATAAAAATCGACTCTATTACATATATATATGTTTAATTTACTGATCAAAAGTGTACGTTTTATCTATAATAACTTTCATCTACAAAACGATATATAAATATTTTCTCTGAAATGCCGCTATATCATCTATAGTAAAAATAAAAGACTTTAGTGCCCCTTTTGTGCCAAAAATGAAAAAAAAAAATGTATGTTTTATTTTTTAAATGCTACAATATCATTTCTTCATTTTTGGAACACTAAGCATGGACATACTGATAGTAAAATGTTAGATATCATATATACAAAGCAAGGAATCATATTGAATACATTGGGAACAAGAGATAAAAGTGGGACGGATTGTGAGAAAGAACATGTTCTTTGTACATTTTGTGATTTTTCTGGAGGTCAAAAATACAACTTTCTATTGGAGTTCATTTGTAATGATCTGCTAAAACATCTTCAAACAGTAGAAGATACATTACCTCATATAATTAGGAATTTTGTGCAAAGTAATTAGAACTGATTGACAATATTGTTATGTATTTTTAGGTAAAAATGAGCAAAGGGGGAAATCTTTTTTGGATTAAAATGTTATTAAGTGATCTGAAATGATACACTTGGTTTTATAAGTACACACGAATAACCCACTAAAGTGAATTTTCTACTTTTAAAATGGCCGTCATGTTCCCTGTTAACTAAAATTATAAATGTTCTGACAACCGCTGAATGAATATTCAAACATGAATGCTAAATAAGATTTAATTCTGTTTACAAATTCAGACTTAAGTAATACCACGTTTGAATTTTCCAGGTAGTGATAAGCCAGTTTATTTTGCCAATACTTGACTTAATTTGTAATGTCTAACAAAAATATGGGACTTGAGAAGTGTTTGATAAGAATGAAATTATTTATAGTTATATTCTTTAAAACAGTTTTTCTTTTATTGTTTGCTGATAGTAAGATACCCAAATATTGATAGGAGACATTAACACTCATGCCTGTGTACTAGGCCTTTGAAGGGAGCTGCGATTTTGCAGATTCGTCTGAGCAAATCATTATGATTATTATGGAAAACTTTTTCAACTCTTAAAACCAACCTGTATATCATTTGAACGTTAATTAAATATGACTATTGTGGATGCTTGGTATTACTGAAATGTCAAGAAATTGGAGGCAAAAAATTGAAAATTTGCTGGAATAAATGAAACAACCCCTCATTGATGACGATAGTGTCTTACAGACTATCTCTTAAGGCAATGATAGTAAGACTACTCTGGACTTTAACAAACGAACATTAATGTTTGTTTTAAAATGTTTCCTCAGAAATGTTATTTATTTGTTACCTTACATAACATATCCAAAGACGGATACAATACATCCAGCTGTTAATGATCATGATATATTTCAATTAGAGTTGAAATCGGAAATTACCTTTTCCACAATATCTGAACAAAATTATATTACGTATAGATCTAAAACAAGCTTTACCAAATTGTTGGTATTTTTTAAGATCAAAGGGAATTTCCAATATAGCGTCCAACCATAACGGTAATGCTGAAGAAAAACTGAATGCATCAACTAAATAAAATATAAACCAATTTTTTACTGATCAAACGATTCGGTTCCACAAAGTTCGGAAGACTAATTAAATAAGTACTGATAAAATTAGTTTATTTTAATGATCAAAGCAAATACACATCAACTGATCCGAGTACACATTGACTTAATCATATGATCTGACCAAACGAGAACATTATAGAAGGTTTACAAGCTAAAAGTTTGAATGTCTTCTTTTAGTCAAGGCCGTCATTTTGTTTAAAACCACTACATCTTACACTTCATCATTTGAACGTTTGAAAAAAATGTTAGCATTGAAATCTTCTACATGATTTGGGTGTTGATACAGAAATATTGCTGTTACTTTGTCTATAATATGCAAAGTACTACCTGATTATTTATAGGCTAGCTGCATTTTTGAGCAAACAGTCGATAAATTTCGATACCATAGTTATATAGTTTTAAAACCAGGAAATCTGGTATGGCTTGGGGTTCGAACCTCACACATGAGGCTTTGATACTTTTTATTTATTCATATTTTTTATTATCTATTTGTTTTGTCCTCTAGTCCTTCTTCACAGAAATTGATGCAATTCTTGTTTATCGCACTGTCGGCAGTTTACAATGATGAAAAGAAATTCTTAACAGTAAACAATACAGAAAAGCTGAAGCAGACATACTGACATATCCTATTGATTACTGCAAATGTTGCTTCATAAGGTGAGAAAGTTGGGGGAAAATTTGGCTTCTTACCTTCTTCCGGGAAATTTTTACTTGACCTTTTTCCGTAATAACATACAGAGACAATATGTTTATGCAAGTTAACCCCGACAAAACCTACAAATAATATAAATGCATGAATGAGTTTTTACCATTGTGGGATTTTGATCTATGACGTCATTGCGGTCATACAGGATTTTCTGACGAACTTGAAAATTTTACAATGACACTTTCAATCAATGTCATATCGTCATTTTTTCAGACTTTGATCACCTCTTTTACCAGTCAAAAGATCATAAGGTCAAAAATGCCAGACCAATAAGAATTAGAAATATAAGAATAGGTCTTTCACCAAATGGAAATAGAATATTTGCCAGTTAGATCATCATGTCGACCATAAAACTTCCCTCAAATCTTCATCAATCTGCTCTCTTGAAACCCTGCCATTCTCTTGCACAAAACTTGTGATATTGGGAATAGGCCTTTGAATATCGAATCAACGGCAACAGGTAGATGTCTTAGGTTGGAGATATTATATATATATTAAATAATCTGTGATACACGTGGGAGGTACATGTAACGTAAAGAAAATACACCAATCATTAAATTTGATTGATTAATCATATCACCAACATTCCCTGTGATATAGATATACCAAACTTCATAATCATATAGAAATAAATAGAACTGATATTACAAATATTACGAAGATTCATTTTTATTATCAACTGCGTTCTGGTTATATTTAAGGTGTGACATCAGCCAGTCCAGTATACACCAGACAGGGAGGAACAGTAACATTACAATGTCCTGATTCTGGTGGTAGTACATCGTGGTCTGTCACTTCTACTGAATTTATTTACACCATCGGAACACAAATCAACCCGAACCTAGCAGACTCAATAAAGACGAGACTTGCTGTTACCAACCAGAGTGGAATCTATAGCCTACAGATCAGTAATGTACAACTATCAGATGTCAGGGAATACAGATGTAGCATTGGATTATCAGACACATTCTATCATCTACTACTGTACAGTAAGTGTTGTCAAATTGGTAATACCGACATATTCTGTCATTCTACTTCTGTACAGTAAGTTATGTCATATTGTTAATACAGACACATTCTATCATCTACTACTGTACAGTAAGTTATGTCAGATTGGTAATACAGACACATTATACCATCTATTACTGTACAGTGACTTATGTCAGTTTGGTAATACAGACACATTCTATCATCTACTACAATACAGTAAGTTATGTCAGATTAGTAATACAGACACATTCTATCATCTACTACTGTACAGTAAGTTATGTCATATTGGTAATACAGACCCATTCTATCATTTATTACTGTACAGTAATTTATGTCATATTGGTAATACAGACACATTCTATCATCTACTACAATACAGTAAGTTATGTCATATTGGTAATATAGACACATTCTATCATCTACTACAATACAGTAAGTTATGTCATATTGGTAATACAGACACATTCTATCATCTATTACTGTACATTAAGTTATGTCATATTGGTAATACAGACACATTCTGCCATCTAATACTGTACAGTGAGTTAGGTCAGATTGGTAATGCAGGCACACACAATCATCTACTACTGTACAGTAAGTTATGTCAGATTGGTAATACAGACACATTCTATCATCTACTACTGTACAGTAAGTTATGTCATATTGGTAATACAGACACATTCTATCATCTATTACTGTACAGTAAGTTATGTCATATTGGTAATACAGACACATTCTATCATCTACTACAATACAGTAAGTTATGTCAGATTGGTAATATAGACACATTCTATCATCTACTACTGTACAGTAAGTTATGTCATATTGTTAATACAGACACATTCTATCATCTACTACTGTACAGTAAGTTATGTCAGATTGGTAATACAGACACATTCTACCATCTATTTCTGTACAGTGACTTATCTCAGTTTGGTAATACAGACACATTCTATCATCTACTACTGTACAGTAAGTTATATCAGAATGGTAATACAGACACATTCTACTATCTACTACTGTACAGTAAGTTATATCAGAATGGTAATACAGACACATTCTACTATCTACTACTGTACAGTAAGTTATATCAGATTGGTAATACAGACACATTCTACTATCTACTAACAGTAAGTTAGGCCAGATTAGTAATACAGGCACATGTTATCTTTCTTTTCAGTGTCATTTCCTGACAATGTATGGATCTGTCATCACATTTCACATAAAGATTCATTATGATTTTGACTGCTTCTTTTTCAAGAATGGTCCGATGAAATATTCTATCATACTCTCAACTAATGAAATAGCCTTTATCAAACTTAAATCTTATGAATGCACACTCTACCTCTTTTATATAGACTACTAGTTTGCATAGTCGACCATGTAGATGTTAATCTTATTGTATGCAAATATTGAAAAGGTTAGGCGTAAACATGTCATAATGCTATGTAGATTAATTTATTCTCTTGAGCTATGATGTATTGCTTTAAAGCAAAAAAAAAAAAGATATACAGATTATGGAGTGTAGATGTTTTCATGGACATATCAAATATTAACCAATAAAGTGAACTAACTGAGGAAAACTTGAACAGATGAAGCAGATTGCTGAACTCAGTTCTATGTGCCCTAATATGCATCTGCTGACCAAGTTTCATCTTAATCGGATTATGTTGAGGGAATTTAGAGCGCGGAAATGAACCGACCAATGAAATCAAAGGATATCTCATTAGTATGCATAATTATTAACAGATGGCACTGATAGTCAAACTCAGTTTTAATGACCCTAAGATGCATCTGCTGACCGTTCATTTTATTTTATTCAGTTCCTCCAGGTTTTCCTAAGATAGAAAACACAGTCAGTGTTGACGGTCAGAACAGAACAGTAGGAACGGAGAATGGAAGTATGACCTTGACATGTAATGCATTTGGTGGTACTCCAGCGTCTAATGTGTCGTGGATTAAAGATGGCGTCATCCTAGTGACATCAGCCAATACAGTACAGTACAGAAAGGTCTTCACCCGAGCTGATGACTTAAATATGTACACATGTCACTCTAGTAGTCCAGCCCTGACCACTACTCAGACCATCAGTGTGTTGATATACCTAGATTGTTAGTACAGTGTGATCATGTCATAATATAATAGTCCGGCCCAGACCATTTTTCTAACCAGTAATCAAGTGTATATACATATTCATATAGTAGTTTAGTCCTTACTAGTCTTCTATCCGACTACAGTGCATGCAAATTAAATCCTTCATAAAATAAACAATTCTTCTGGAGGTTTGTAAATTGGCAATGTTAACAATGGTAAATCATATTTTCAATGGTGGTGAAGTTTCATTTCAGTAATTTTTATTATATAAATCTGTATAAATGGAAAAGATACTAGATATATCCTGTATACTTTTGTATGCTCTCTAAAAATTTCAAGGGAGAATGTAGTCGCCACCTTGTCCATTTGTCCGTCTTTCTGTCTGTCTGTTCATGTCCAGATGATAACTTAGACCATAGTTAATCAAAGATCATGAAATTGAGTGTATACATTGATGATAACAAGACAATGTGTTGCCGTTTGCTTTTTGTCCAGAGCATACTTTTGCTTGCATTTAAGCTAGGATATTGAAACTTGGTGTAAGCATTGATTATACGAGGACAATGTAGTGTATCGATGTTATTGCACTCTGTTAAAAATATGTGTCCCAGGCATTACGTTGCCTGCATTGAAACTAAGATATTGAAACATGATGTATACATTAATCATACTCAAGCAAGGCTCTGTGTAGCAAAGTCGTGTCCGTCCGTAACCCCTCATTTACAGAGTTATTGTCCTGTGGTATTATTACTTTTCTGTCGTGAGCATAGCTTTGCTTGTTTTACAACAAAGATCATGAAACTTGATTTATACATTGACCATACTAAGAAAAATTGTAGTGTATCAAATTCAGAATCATTACAATTTGTTAAAATGTTTGGGAGCTTACACTTTTTTATGGTGGTATTTATATAATTTGCTGATAATCTGCAATTGCAATATCTGTATGAATCTTTGACAAACATTCATTTATATTTATTTATTTGATAAAGTACCAGACATAACCTGAATATTTTTTTCAAATGTTCATATTTAAATGTACATCATTTGCATATGATCAATTCATTCCAATATTTGATTGAATCTTTTTGCTGACAAACATACTTTTGTACAGCAAAAACAACTCCCATATTTAAAGCATTTTAATGTAATTAGCAATCATATTTGATAGAATATTCTTTGAAATCACTGCAATTATTCATTCGCTTCCTTACATAATTGTGTATATTGTAGTATATAATGAACGTTTCTATGGGATTTACCATATCATTATCTATATTAGATGCTAATTTGTTTCATGAGATAGGTAAGGGTGTCAGGAGACATGATAGTAACACATATAAATCCAGTTCTAATAAAGATATAATGTATCAGGGCCAAGAAAAAAAAATAGGACAAAACAAGTTTTCTGGGTTTTTTTTCTCATGTTTAAGATGAATACATATTGAAAAGTAAAACTACTTAAATGTTTCCCTTTATAACAATATTGACCATGATTAGTTATGGTTAATCGATATAGATTATATTCGTATGAAATAGGGTCGGTCATCCATAACAGTCCAAACGAATTCAAACTAGTTACATGTATCAATTTGGCTATTTTCCAAGAACTTTAAACATTCTCACAATAAGTCTAACACTCCATTGCAGTGAAGCCAATGCATCCTGCTATATTAGTCAGGTGACGGTTTCACAATAACATTGATTTGATCCACATACACTTTCAGATGTTAGATCAATAACATCTTTCTTAATATTAGCTCTTGTTCCTTTATTACAGTGAAGCCGAGACAGCCTACTATATCTGGCCAGATGTCCCAGACAGAGAACACAGATCTACAGGTAGTGTGTGAGTCTACAGGAAGTAGACCTGCGGCCGACATTGAATGGAATGTTGTGGGAACATGGCAGTCAAGTAATCCAACAGAGGTCAAGGTCATGGACAGTGCTACAGAAACCTACACCGTGACGTCAACACTCTCCCTCCGAGTCACACGTCAAGACAATGGGAAGTCTGTGTACTGTAGAGCCAGTAACCGGGCCTTATCTGGAGGGACTGAATCAGAACGACAGACTATAATAGTATTGTGTAAGTATATCATCTCTTATACAGTCTCATGTGAGGACAGTAGGAAACCTCCCAGTCAAATGTTGTAGAAATACAAGAATAGTTTTTCGCAATAAAACATTTTTATTTCATTATGTAAATAATGTACAATGTGTTTGTGGTGATCTACTGTTTTCTAGCCGGACCAGACTTAGTGGGTTAAAATTAACCAAAAACAGAGTCATGTTGGTTCGGGCCAGCTAAGCTGATAATGATTAAAGTGCCTAAAGGCATGGTATTTGGCTGGTATATTTCTAGGATGAAGCTTTACAAGGTTTGCAAAAAAAATGACCTTGACTTAGACTTAAGATTACAGGAGTCAAATTTGTTAAAACATTGAAACTCTTGTTTTCATGAATTAACAGCCTAGATGCATGATATTTGGTTGGTATAAATATACAAGGTGAGTGTTACAGGCCCTTTGGGACTCTTGTTGACTTTTTGCATTTAAAATTATTACATATACAAAATAGTATCTAGTTGAAGGTTGGTGTTGACTTAGTCAAGTTTAAATATTTCATGTCCTGTTCTAGTCGGACCTGACAGTGTGGATATAACCGGGAACAGAGTTGTGGTGGCCGACAGTACCAATACTCTGACTTTGACCTGTAGAACACAGGAGTACAACAGATACGTACACATTACATGGTACAATGGTACATCACAGATACTTAACACAGCAGTTGTCACCAACACATCAGGCAGTTACGGAGGTTTGATATCTACACAGGTCTTCCAACTCACACCTGACAGATACCAGGACGGTAACGTGATCAGATGTGTAGTCCAGAACGAGGACGTGACACTTGGAGAGAAATCAGCATCAGCTACACTTAACCTCAACTGTAAGTGTTGATTTGATGAAGTTTTTGTTGTTGTTACCTTTGATGTATGTAATTTATATTTTGTTGTAGCTTGTCGCCTACTCTGCATTTAGTGAATAACGCCCAGTATATAAGGTAGCTGTACAAAGTTTTTCAGTCATGATTTGATTATGAGATTGCCCTGATAAAGAGGTTTTCATTGAAATCTAAAACAGTAAATCCTCACAAAATTAAGTATAGTGATGTTGATGTGGACAGTGTGGGGTTTCAATATTTTAGTATAATATTTGGCACTGTCTTGGGGATCACTACATGGCAGTCCTGAATCTGTGTCTTCATACTAAAACCAGCTGTAAAGGAAGTTATTTGTTAGTGTTTTTAGCGTTAATATTGCAAAGCAGTGCAGAGTTCCGATTTTACATTGAGAAAGCTGTAAGTGGTTAGGAATATTTCAGACATGTTTAAAAAATGATTAAAGTAACCATGAAAATAACCCTAAGTACTTGAATTTACTTCGGTGTACTTAAACTGTTTTAGTAACATACTTTCTTATACTTTAGTGCAATTCAACGTTCTTCCTGACGTACTTTAATGTAGTAATTGAAGTCTAACATTATAATTTACATTCACCAGTCTCTAACAAATAAATACTTCCATTATTTTCAATAGTTTAACCTCCTTTAACTCTCAAATTCCTTAGTTAATTCTTAGCTGGTTAGGCTCGGCAATTAAATGCATGTGTGACCAAGGCTTAAATGGTCATGTGTAATAAATGTTAGCCCAGCTTTGATATGCTGTAGGTTCTAGTTGGTTTTATTGTCAATAACAGTCACAAGCATTGTTCTATCATCAAAATAAGGGGAATGAAGTAAGAGAAAAAGTAGTATGTTTTAGCTCACCTGTCTCGAAGGGTCAGGTGTGCTTATGGCACACTGCGACGTCCGTCCTTCCGTCCAAATTTTTCATATAAATAACTACTAATCATTGACAACTTTTGGAGACAATTGAGATTTTGACCAAAAATAATCTGAAGCATTGTTGGGTGAAGGGAAATTAATTTTGCATACAGTGGGTCTCTGTTCCTAGGGGCATGAGTGGCACGACAAAACAGTGGAAATAAAGCAAATTATTTAAAATCCTGCCTTTCCTGTAGGAATGATTGGATTTTGCCTTAAGATGTTCAAAGCCATTGTTGGGTGAAGGGAAATAAATTTTATATAAATCGCATGTTGTCTTGACCCCCTGGGGCTGGACGGACGGAGCTAAATCACAATAGGGGAAACAGCGTTAATTCTTTAAAATACCATTTCTCCTTTAGGAATGAATGTATGTTTCCCAAATTTAGATCAAAGTATCGTGGGTGAAGCAGAATCAGATGTGTATAAACAGTGGATTCTGGCACCATAATGTTGGAGAGTTGGGGTCAATCCAGGAAATAGATCAAATTCCTTAAAATCCTACTTCTCCATTAGGAATGAATAAGTATTACCTTAATTTGGTCAGAAGTAATCTGATGAGGAACATTGTTTGTATAAGGATTGGTTCTTAGTTCCCAGAGGCCATAAGTGCAAAGTCGAAACCGGAAAATTTGCACGTTTTTAAAATCTCACTGCTCCTAAAAGAATTAATGGATTTTGCCAGAATTTGGTCTGACTATTCTTGGTGACGGGACTAAGCTCTGTATAAATGGTACATCCTTGCCGTCAAAAAAAGGAAGGGAGTGTCCCAATTGGGGAAATGTAAGTTCTTAAATGCCCTACTTCCATAAAAGGATATTGCTCATGTTTGGTCTTAAGCAATTTTATGAATAGAGAATCTGACTACAAGGTCAGGACCCAATAGGGAAATTACATAGAAAAATGTCATATTTGATATTCTTTATTAAATGGCTGAATAGCTAAGTTAGCAAGGTGAGCGATGCATGCCCCTGGTTCTCTTGTTTCATATTTGAAGATCATATGATTTGTTTGCACACATTTTCTCCTGATGCTCTTAAATGACGAAACCTAATGATATGTCCACAGCATCTTAATTCAGACCCTTGAGAACAAACAAGAATGATAAGACCAGGAGTTCTGGAAGGGTCATTGTCTTCTGTTTATTCAATGACACTGGTGATATAAATCTTTGTCTATCCACATGATAGATGTCAGCTTCTTAAATAAGAACAAAAAGTTACCAACAACGAAATCATCAGGCATACAAAGACCACTGAAAATATTTCCCTTGATAAAAATTACTTGATATAAATGTCATTTTTTATGATTACTGGTGATAGACACTGGTGGTGTACTTTATAATATTTGTGTTCCCTGCAATAATTCTGTTATTCTGTCATTCTAATAGTTTCACGGTTCAGTTTATACAAGTATATTTGATATTCTTATCTTGTCTTTTGTACAATCATCCTATTGCACAAAGATTGCACCATAAACAAAATCCTATAATCTTAATTTACCTGCATCTCTCAGGAGTCAGTGTCAATGTATGTTCATCACTTTGCTTTATAATCGTGATTAAACATATTGTGGTATCATAGAAATATCCATCTCCATAGAGATATTGAAACTGTCACGTCTATACAGAGGTTGGTGGTTGAGGTAGAAGATTATGTTGTGTCTTTGATTTTAAGTTCTGGTGGGTAGATACAATTATTTTGTCATAGTTAACCAATGTTTAGACATCACTGATATATATTAACGTGGAAATGAAAGTGTTAGACAGGAACAGTTGTTCTCAGTTATATAATAAATACTGACCGTGGTGACCTTTATCATTGTCCTTCACCTCTGTGTCGCTGGCTTAAGATATACATGAGATAGGTCGGTGGTTTTCTCTGAGGATTCGATCTTTCCTCCACCACCTCCAAATCTGGCGTGTCTTTAAATGATATGGCTGTTCATAGGATACATATCAACAATAAACTTAACTCCGACATATTCAGCCCCGATATGGTTGTCCATAATTATATATTACTGACTGTAGCAATTCTATAATAACTGATCTGCATGCATTGTTTTAATGAGAAGGTCTGACTTAACATTGTACAAGGTTTACTTGCTAAAATACATATAGATACCCATTCCAAGCCATCTAAATATTCCTGTTCTCATGTTTATTTACACAATCAATATAAGAGTATGTGTGAAAGAGTCAGTATTGGAAAGTTTCTAAGTTGTATTTGCTCATCAGCTGGAATTATCTCCCTTTAACAAACGTAATGTAAACACGTCATTTATACTGAATGCTTTCAAATTACTGTTGAAAATTGATATTGGTTAAAGTCAATATCATTAGAATATACTATTAATCACTTGAAGTGGATTAAAATGGATATCAACATCATTTCTTTAATGTAAGTTGTTTCTTGACAACCAAATAGATTGTATAAAAATATGAAACTATACTGGTATCTCCATTCATGATAGTAAACTACTAGTTATGATATGAAGAAGCTGTAACCAACCAGTATTTAGGATGTATTATCATAGATCCCGAAATATTGTGAACTGAGGACATAGACACGTTTTACATACAGTAATATTATATTTACTATTGGCTAGCCTGTAATAAGTATGATAGCAAAAAGCCCAAATCTGGTGTTAGCATTACTCCTTCATTAAACACCACTGCATGCCTAGAAAAGCAAGATTCCAGGTAAATGAAACTCTGTGTGGGTATACGTATCTATGCATACAGCACAGACTAAAGTACTACACCTTCCGAAACACTGAGTTCTCATAAGGATACTGACAATAAAGATCAACAGTCAACATTATGTAAGATATATATCAAATCCATCAAATGTTATGGAACCAACTATGATATGGTACATGTACAAGTGTATGTTATGTAGTGAATGCAAAATGTTGTTTTCCTGCATATCTCAAATGAAAAGTAGGATAAAAGCAGACAGATTACTTGATTATAAATGGTATCAGAAACTGAATATGTTCTTGTCATAACTTTATTCTTGTACCTATCTGACAGTCTCTGATACTGCTATAAGCCTATGAAACATTTTTCGAAGTTTTTCTTGAGAATGGCTTCAGATTTTCTTGGTACACATATATCAAATGTGAAATCCCCACATCTTCTGTATGTAGTGTTGGAAGTTGAAAAGAAAAGAAATCGTAACAACCATACTTTTATTAAGAA